AATGATAAGGTCTTACTCTATAACCCTGACTGGCCTGGAACTCACTCTGTAGATTGGGAATCCTCAGATTCCCAGAGATCCACCTGTCTCTGCCCAGAACTGGGATTAAAGGTGTGTGTCATCATGCCTCAGTCCATGCTTTCTTTAATAGCCTTCACCAATTTATCACTTTCTGCCTTAAGATTTTTTTTTAATTTTGCTTATTGTTTGTGTATGGATATTGTTGTGCATGTTTCTCTGTGTACCATGTTTGTGCCTGGTAGCTGCAGAGATCAGAAGAGGGCATTGAATCCCCTGGGACCAGAGTTTCAGACAGTTGTGAGCTGCTGTGTGGGTGCTGGGAATTGAACCCAAATCTTCTATAAGAGGAGCCAGTGTACTTAACTGCCAAGCCATCTCTCCAGCCCTTAAAATGTATTTTAAAGGAGTATTTCCTAATAGAAGAAACTATTAGGAGATAGAAGTTTTATTTCTGAAACTGCTGGGTTTAACCTACTTGGTCCTCATTTCTTCAGCCATGTATTTAACATGAAGTTACTGTGATGTGGGGGCACACCTGGTATTTTACTTGCTGCTTTTTCAAGTCTGCTATGTGTAACTATTAAGTTACGTGTAGTGTGACTCTGACATCATATGTCCATACACGGTTATCATAGCTCACGAGTCTTTTCTTTTACAGAAACCACTTGACTATAAGTACAGATATTTTCGTCGTGTTCCTGTACAAGAAGCAGATCACAGTTTTCATGTGGGGCTGCAGCTGTGTTCCAGTGGCCACCAGAGGTTCAACAAACTCATCTGGATCCACCACTCTTGTCACGTTACATACAAGTAGGTGAATGCAGGAAAGACTGCCAAGATTAGGGCCTGGAGAGACAGCTCAGCAGTTAAGGCTGCTTGCTGATTTTTCCAGAGGACCCCGGTTCAATCTGCAGCAGCCATTTGGCAGCTCACATCCATCTGTATCTTCAGTTCCAGGGCATCTGATGCTTTCTTTTGGCCTCCACAGGCACAAGACACACACGTGGTATACAGACACATGCAGGCAAAATAACCATACACATAAGAACAAATTTTAAAATAAAAGAAGCTAGAACTAGCATAAAAGTATACTTTATATTCAGCTTAAGAAGCTTGATATGTTTGGAATTCTTCAGTATCTTGTTACAAAGTAAAACCACAGTGTAAAACTACAATGAACCTTAAAAAAAAGAAAGAAAGAAAGAAAGAAAGAAAGAAAGAAAGAAAGAAAGAAAAGAAAAGAGAGGCTCAAATGTAAAACAGTTGAGTGTGAGTGAGGAAGTGGAGCCCTGCCGCTCCTGCCCAGTCAGTGCTTCCGCTTCAGGAGTCAAAGTGCGGAAGGCCAAGCTTCAGTGCCCACTACCCCTCCATAAGAAGGGGACATTCCTTCTGTGGAGCTGAGGCCTGACACAGTGAACACAGTGCTCCTTCATTGACTGCTGTAGGCTCATCTCAAAGGTCGTTTTCCTACAGGTCACGTTAATGCCTTTTACTTCATTTCTGTTGGATTGTTCTTAGAGATTATACAATGGTTTTAAAAATTATATTTACATAATTTTAAAAATTATCTGTTTTTAAAATAGTGCTCAGTATAACCCAAAGCCAAATGTTAATATTAGGTAGGTGATTCCTGTTTAAAACTCTTAATTCTGTGAGCTAGGATTTAGTCTGGTTACCTAATTGTTGTAGGGGGCCGCCTGTTGGTTCTCAGCCGCCTGGCTAGCTTAGACCCAAAATAATCACACAGAAACTATATTAAGTCCATACTTGGCCCATTAGCTCTAGCTTCTTATTGGCTAACTCTTACATATGAATTTAACCCATTTCTATTTATCTGAATATCACCACAAGGTGATATCACCTACCAGCAAAGTTTTTAGCATGTCTATCTCTGTCTGCGGCTCCATGGCGTCTCCCTGACTCTGCCTTCCTCCTCCCATACTACTATAGGCCAAGTCAGTTTCTTTATTCATTAACCAATAAAAGCAACAAAAGGGCCTCCCACACCACCTAATTAAGAATATAAAATGAGCAGTACAGAAATAAAAAGTTCAGAAATGCTAGGTCATGTGACTGCCAGTGTTATTGGTTGCTGACTTGAGAGAAGATTAGTGTTCTGGGGCTCTTCATGCAGGTTGAATCCAGAATTCCAGGAGAGAAGTTTTGAGGCAGGCTTCCATGGATGTGCTCTATAGACTTGACCATGCAGGGTCAACCTTCCTCAGTGCTCATTTGGAGGCTCCCTCACATGCCAGCCTTTCCCCTCTTGATTCTATCTGTGATCTAATGGTGATGTTTTCTACTTTTCACAGTAACACCCTTAAGTAGAAGGCAGCCAGTGAGGTTTGCTACAGTTTGTGTCGCCACAGTTTGTGCTTGCCCCCGTAGGAAGTAAGAATCACTCTTCAGGAGGGAAGTGCTTTTAACTGCTTGTGGCCATAATCTTGTACTCGTCAGGATCACATGATTTTCTGCCCTGGCTGCTTTCTCCTCAGGAGTGCACTCTTTGGCTGCAGTAGCACGATTAGTGCCCCCTGAGCACGCACACGCTTAGGACTTTGCCATTAATCAAACGCTAAATCATTAGTTCTGCTGTAACTGCAGGTTTGTCGGTAGCCTTTGACTTGGAAATTCTTTTACATATATGTAGAGGGTCATGATGAAGAATAACACATTACTTTAATTGCCAAATATCAGAAACAACCTAACTTTCTAAAAAAAATATTTAATAAGTTATGATACAAGCAGGGGTTATATGTTAGGCAGCTAATACAAATGGTTTCTGAAGGAAGTTTTTAAATGTTTTACAGTGTACCTTCATTGTTTTGTTTAGACTTTAAACCCACCCTGTATGAACATGCAGGGATTTCACGTAAACTGGAATTTCCTCATTCCAGTGGTTTTGTACTTTGTTTCTAGATCAACTGGTGAGACTGCAGTCAGTGCTTTTGAGATTGACAAGATGTACACCCCTTTGTTCTTCGCCAGAGTGAGGAGCTACACCGCGTTCTCTGAAAGGCCCCTGTAGAGCCTTGCCAGCATGCCGCTGCTGCATGAGCAGAGCCGCGCTCCAGAATCCCTAAGTTATATGTACATACATGGAGTTGGAACTATTTTAAGTTGTTGGAATTCCTTTAAGAAGAGCATAAATTATTTTTTTTATTTAAAGGGTAGTTGATTCCTGGGGTAATTTGTTTTGAAATTAGAAGTTGTTAAGTACATTTATGTTGTAGTAAACTGTAATGTGGGGTTTTAAATCATGTTTTCAAGCAGGTTTCTGAGCAGATCTGCCATGTACACCCGCACACTCGCATACGTCAGGGAGCACACTGGATAGTACTTATTCCCGCATGACCTGTGTCCTTGAATCAGACTCAGAATGTGAAACCTGGTCTGTATTTGTTTGAAACTGTTCAATAAAGATCACAAATGTTTCTTTCAAGATGTGATGGCCTTTAAAAATGGGAGAGTATTTAATAAATAGTCCTGGGGTAGCCAGCAAGGGCTTGGGAGCCTCAGTCATCTTCGTTGCCACAGTTAACCCCAAACCCTGGGGACTCGAATCTCATCTGCAAGACTTACAGATGTGTAAGTGGGGACAGTTGAGTTCGCTTAGGCGGAACCAACAAGCTCAACCAACTGACTCGGGTCTTTCTTCAGAAGTGAACACTGCAGCATCCCGTAAGTCATGTACTGTGAAAATAAAGGGCAAGTGTGGACCAAGAGGAGAGATAAGATGCAAGAATGAAACAAAGATTATAAAAAAAGGAAAAAAAAAACATTGGAAAACAGGTGCTTTTTTAAAAAAAAATATTGATTCTTTGGCAATTTCACATCATACACCTCAATTCTGCTTACCTCCCAATCCCCCCATAGCCTCCCCCTCTCTGCTTCAGTGGTCCCCCAAAAGAAATTTAAAAAAAAAAAATCAAAGCAAATAAAAGCAAGAACAAAACAAACCAACCAACAAACAAAAAAACTTCTTTGCTTCTTCTTGCCCGCTTCTTCAACATCTCTTCATTGTTCTGGGGCAGTGTGCACACAGTAGACCTCTTCATTGCTCTGGGGCAGTGTGCACACAGTAGACCTCTTCATTGCTCTGGGGCAGTGTGCCACACAGTAGACCTCTTCATTGCTCTGGGGCACTGGGGCAGTGTGCACACAGTAGACCTCTTCACTGTTCTGGGGCACTGGGGCAGTGTGCACACAGTAGACCTGTTGGTATTGTTCCACAGCACCAGTCCCTTCGCCAGCTTCAGCAGGTCCTAGATGGGGTAGATGTTAGCGTGGGCCAATCCTAGGCCCAGCTGTGGGTCGGTGGTAGCTGAGTTGGTCATTCCAGGCCACTGAGGCCACCCACCTCAGATGACAGGGGTGGAGCCAGCTCCCCTACATACCATCAGGGTCAATTTTCTCACCTGTGCTGAGGGGTGGGGCCATCTCTCAGAGCATGGGTCAGCTCGCTTGCTGTAGAGTCCTTGGGTTAGTGAAGGGTGGGGCCAGCTCAGCATAGTCCTCTGGTTTCATCACCCATGGTTCCCATGGCCTCCTGACACAGGCCGTAGACATCAACAGATCCCAGCTGCAGCTGGACTATAGACCTAGACCTGGTCCTCAGCAGCAGCTCAGGCCTGGACTCTGGGGAGGTGAGGGGGGGAGCACTGAACACTCAGATTGGGACTGTTCTGGCAGTGGCCTGGCTCCTGGACACCAGAAAGACCCCAACCCCATGTTCTGTGTGACCTTTGGTGGCAATATGGGACTTGGACTTGAGCAGAGATGCCAGCTGCAATAGGACCACGGACCCAGACATGGTCCTTGGCAGCAGCTGGATCTGGATGTCACCATTGCTCCAGGTGGCAGTGCAGGCATCTGCATGGTCTTCTATGGTAACACAGAGACTGGCTGCAGTAAGGACACAGATCCAGACACAGCCCTCAGCTGCAGCTCTGGCTCAAATGTCACCATGGCATTGGGTAGCAGCAAAGGCCATTCAGATCTACATGGCCCTGGCTGCATCGTGGCCCTCGGACACTAACATGGACTCAGGTGGCTGACCTGACCCTGGACATCCACGTGTTCCTCAGTGGCAGCGGTAGTTGCATATGGGAAGACATGTTTATTAAACATGACAAATATGACTGATTTTTGAATTTCAGATGAAATGTGAGATGCCAAAGCTAAAAGTTACCTTAGACATTGTTAATTGGCTATCTGTTGCAGGAGGGGGGCTGCTTGTTCTTCCTGGCCGCCCGGCTAGCTTACACCTGAAATAATCACACAGAAACTGTATTAATTAAATCACTGCTTGGCCTATTAGCTCTAACTTATTGGCTAACTCTTACATCTCAGTTTAACCCATTTCCATTCATCTGGATATCGCCATGTGGCAGTGGCTTACTGGTAAAGATTCAGCGTATATGACTCTGGTAGCTCCATGGTGTCTCTTTTGCTCTGCCCTTCTTTCTCCCAGCATTCAGTTCTGTCTTCCCTGCCTACCTAAGTTCTGCCCTATTAACGGGCCAAGGCAGTTTCTTTAGTAACCAATGAAAGCAACACATAGACAGAAGGACCTCCTACACCAACTATCCTCATGGAGGTGGTGAGGAAAAATTTAAAATAATTTAAATAAAAAAATTTTTTTTGAGATAGTGTCTCACCATGTAGCTCTGGCTATCTTGGAACTTGGTATGTAGACCAGGCTGACCTTGAACTCATTAAGATCCACCTGTCTCTGCCTCCCAAATGCTGAGATTAAAGGCATGTACCATCAGGCCTGGCCATATTTCTTTTATTTTTTTGAGATTATTTTTTGAGATTAATTTTTCTTTTCTCTTTTCCCCCTTCAAAGTCTTCCATAGACCTGTCCTTGCTCTCTTTCAAATTCTTGGTCTCTATTTTTATTAATTATTGTTATATACATTTATATTCTCCCCCCTCCCCTTCTCCCTTTCCCTCTCGTCCATTAGCCCACCCTGCTCTGTCTGTATGTTACCCCTGTGTGTGTTTTGTGGGTCAACTGCTTAGAACTGAATAACCAATTGGAGTGCACTTCCTGGGGAAAGACTGTTCTGGTCTCAGCATTTCTCGGCTGCCTGTCGCTCTTCCTGTGGGTTTGACATCTCCTGGGTTTTCTGTCATTCATGTGAACATGCCTATTCTCTCACTCCTACAATCTTCTGCAATGTTCCCTGAGCCTTGGGTGTGGAAGCGCTTTATGGTTGTATCCATTGGGACTGGGGCTCACAAATGCATTTTGATTGGTTGTGATTTTCTGTAATGGTCTCTGTTGGAGAAAAGTTTCCTTGGTGACAGTGTCAGACTACTCTTATCTGTGGGAATAAGAACAAATATTTTAGAGTGTAGTTAGGGACTATGCTGGGTTGGTAGACTAGCCTCACCTTCCACAATGTTCTCTGAGCCTTGAGAGTGGGGAGGAAGTTGAAAGAACCTCCCCCCCTTTTTGAGACAGGGTCTCATTGTGTAGTCTGGCTGGCCTGGAGCTCACAGAGACCTGCCTGCTCCTGATGGGATTGAAGGCATGTACACCTGAACAATTCCTTTAAAACCTTGACTCCAGTGTCATGTGCAAAATAACGACTAAGTCGCCTAAGAAATACAGTAAAATGTGTTTTCGCCACTAGGTGTCACTCTTGTCCCAGGTTTTTGATCTTACTTCCCGGTGTGGACCAGAGTGTGTCAGACTGAGGAAATTTTATCAACATTCCAGCTTCTGACTTAGTTCAATCTCTGTGGCTGTGTTAAAACACCACCACTAAAGCTACTTGGGGCAGAAAGGGTTAGTTCACCTTCCAGCTCTCAGGCCACTCCCATCACTGAGGGAAATCAGGGTAGGAACCTGGAGGCAGGAACTGATGCCGAGGCCACTGAGGGGTGCGGCTTACGGGTTTGCTCCTAACATTGCTATCTTATAGCACCCAGGACCACCCGTCCAGGGACAGCTCCTTCAAGGACTGGACCCTCCCATATCATCACTAACCAAGAAGATGCATTACATCAGTCTTTCATCAGCGATGGCTTCTTTTTCCTCGTCCCTACTATTATTCTCATCCCAGCCTAGGAGAGTACAGGAAGTGCCACCGAGCTCCGCCCACTTCCGGCGCTCCCGGGAAACTACTTTGTAGGAAGTCACGGCATCTCTCCCACTGCTGTGACTCCGAGGCCTTGGGAACACGCATGACTGAGGTGTTAGGATCGGCTAGCGGCCATTTCCATCCAAGACCCCATGCCGATTTCTTCTTTTCTCATACAGTTTCTGAATTCAGTCTGATTTCCATGATGACTGACTCGGACCAATCCAGGCTTCGGAGACACGGGAAGGCAAGTCTCCCGACAGATTCTTCGGTGTGCCGTCTCTGAGATGACATGATTATAGAGAACCTAGAAATCATAGTTTCTCCCAGGCTTGGGCCAAATCCCATCATTGGGGACATTGCCAAGAAAGGTCTTCCCCTTGTCGTCTTATGATTTGTATTTTCTTTCTTTTATTTATTTTTCTGAGGCAGAGTCTGCTCAGGCAAGCCTCAAACTCACTATGTGGCTGAGGATGAGTTTGAACTCTTGATCCTTCTGCCTCCACCTCTACATTGCAGGCAAGCACCACCGTGCCCACTCTGGGCGATGCTGGGGATGGAAATAAGGTCCTCTCGCACGCTAAGCAGGCACTCTACCAACTGAGCTAGGTCTCCGCCCCGATTTGTATTAAAGTATAAGGCTAAAGGCAAAGTTTCTCCTGCCTTATCCAGCTTCATCCCATGTAAAACAACCATGGCTTCAGAGAAAAGGAATCTATGTGGAGTGCACAGTGGGAAAAGCCAGCTGGGTGGTGCAGTGTGAGGACCATATGCCTCATCAGAGTGCGTTTGCACCTAGCACGAGATGCCACGCTGGTAGATGCTCGATAAATGTGAGCTGACTCCTACTTAGACCCCCAGAGTGTGCCTCTGAAGTCAAGGAGACGCTGGCCTTCTCTACGAATAGTGCGTCAGAGGAAGGGACCCCAATCTCAAGCTCCCAGGACTCTTTGCTATTGCTAGTACCACTGAGGGCAAGAGATGCCCACAAACACGGCCTTCTTTAGACTGAAGAAGTTTCGTGTATGGATCCTTTGACGTTTAAAATGTTTCTTTTAAGTAACTGGGGCTCTGACTAGGAAACACGGGGCATGTTCCCTCCTCCCGGAGGTGAAGCCTTTTGTTAACTTGGCCTTGACACAAGGAAGAAAGCAGAAGGCCTGTGAGCTTGCTTAGACTGCTCTGGGTAGGACTCCCACTTTTACTAGAATTCACTGTCATATCAAGGCCATCCTCAAAAAGCAGAAAGAACAACAAACGATAAAAACAAAACCCAACTGGAAGAGAAACAAAACCCAACAGGCACAGAAATACAAACACCAAAAGCAAGCGAAGAGACACCTTCAATAGAACAGAGCCTTCAACTCCGCAGAATGCTGAAATAGGTAAACCACAAGAAGACTTCCAAAGTTTTCTAGTAGAAATTGATCACTGACCTGAAAGTTTCAGATTCAGGACCCAGGGACAGGTGGCAATGCTGAGGGAAAAGTCAGAAAAACAGATAAACAAGGAAGCTCGTGAGGCAGATGAAAACATCAGGCATGTAGGGAAATTTTCAGCTAGGAAGTACAGACTTAAAAAATGACATAAGTGATCGAGAATCTCGATGAGTCAGAGGCGAACACCAGCAACAGACTCAACTGAGCAGCGGGGATGGAGGATAAAGTCAAAGGCATAATGCATACAAACACCATCAGGGGAAGAAACAAGCATGGCCACAGCACCCAAAAACCCTGGGCTATTTTAAGATACCAACCTAAGATCACACAGAGTGCAAGGATAAATGCATAGAGAACCTGCTCCACAAAGCTATAGCCGAAAAGTTCCCAAATCTAGAGAAAGAACTAGATATTCAACCATAAGAGACATTTAGAATCCTCTGTAGACGTGACCAGAGAGGAGCCACTGTACAACATATTGTAGAAAAGATGGCAAAAATGCAATCACAGACACACACACACACACACACACACACACACACACACACACACACACGTCTCCAGGGAATAATCCAGGGAAGGCTGGAATACAGCTATCTTTTGAAATACAGTGGTCACTCTAAAAGGCTTGGGGAAAGGCCACCTAGGGCAACAGCCACATATACAGGAAGTCTTTTGCCTCAACAATGACCGTTCAGCACCGGCACCAAAGGAACAAAAACATGACACCATTTAAAGCAACAACAAAACAAGCAGAACAACAATCACCAAAACAAACACATGCTCCAAAACCTCCCCCCCCCCCAACTGCTGCTGGGCAGCTCAAGGTCTTGAGTAAACCATGCAGAGACTCAGATCAAGTGGCATGGGGCAGTGCATGGTAACCTGACAAACAGATCCCGGCAGGACAGCAGGGAAGTAATTTCTAATAGCATCTGAACACATTTGGGAGGCTGAGAATATGGTGGAACTAAAGTCACACCAGCATTTTCTCGGACTCCAAGCAACGTGTAGGACTGGTGACAGAGAGCCACAGGGGTAGGGCAGCATTGACAGCCGGAGGGCAGAAGGACTTCCCGGAGCTGTGACCACAGCCCACTCCACCTGTGAAGCGCTGTAGTCATACGCCCAACCATCCACAGGCTGAATCAGAGTGGAGAGCAGAGCCGTCTCTGAGGGCCTTTTAGCATCAGGGAAGGAGCGCAAAGGAGGACAGAGGACAGCCAACCACCGAGCTAGGGAGTTTAAACATTCTAGATCCCCACCTGCGTTTAGGTTCCTTTATATCTATACCATCTGCATTTAGTACCCAACTTTGTTTTAGCGGGTCACCTCGCCACCCTGGTTCTAGATTGCACCCTTTTCTTTCTCTTGCTTTTAACAGTTTTACTTTCTCTTTTCCTCCCGCTCTTCTACTCTTCCCTTGGTTTGTAGCGTACCTGGGCTTCGGCCTCCTGGGAGATGTGTTTCTCTGTGGTACCTGACATCACCTCTCTCTCTCTCTCTCTCTCTCTCTCTCTCTCTCTCTCTCTCTCTCTCTCTCTCTCTCTCTCTCTTCCTCCTTTTTCGCCTACTCCCTCTTCTCCCCTATTCTTGCTCCCTACAGTCCCCTTCCTGTTTGCGTTCCCTTCCCCCACATTCTCCCTGCTACTAATTGCGGTCTTACTGTGCTTTCTTTCTTTGTTCACTCTTCTCGCCCCTTCCCAACTTGTACCCTCAATAACTAATGTTACCACACACAGTGTTGCCAATAACTAATATTACCATAACACAGCGCTGTTAATAACTAATATTACCACACACACAGTGCTGCCAATGTCCCTTTACTCCTGAAAATGACCAGCACTAAGGATTGATTGCTGTATGGTCGACTGTAACTTTGCTATCACAGTCGGTCTACCCATAGATAGCCACCGTCATTGCAGGGGATGGCTCGGTAAGAACCTGGGGCCCTAGACAGAAGTCATTCAGGGGACAGTGACACGCCCGATTATAATCTAGTCCCACCTGAAGGTTACAAATGCTTCTGACAGAAAGAAAAAAGGTGATCTAAATAACTAAGACAAAATTCCAACAACTATCTGACTCTTGATGCGCAAACCCCAGAACAAGCCCCAAATGACATGAGAACCATGGCAACAGGTCTCCTTCAAGATGTACCAGTCTCGGAGTATAGGACCCAGTGAGGATGACCTAGATGAAATCCTGCACAGAAAGTTCAAAAGAATGACGGGTGATAAGTACGTTCAAAGAAATGGATAAAATGCCTGAATGAGTTCCAGGAGAAGACAAACATGTGCATGAAACAAGGAAGCTAATGCAGAATATGAAAATGGAATTCAAGAAGAGCTAGAGGGCAGAAGAAGACTGTGATATACTTCAAAACATCTTTCTGATAGAGCATTAATAAAGCCCTTTCAGAAAATACTGAAAAGCATTAAGAAGAAGTGAGGAATTGCTCATAAACACAAGGCAAGGATAACCATCATTCACATTAGCCAGCCTGATTTCTTTTGTTGGCTGGTTCTGATCCATGTCTGGCCAGCATGTTCTAAGGAAGATACTCTCAGCATCTCTTTGCCAGGTTTTTCTCTTTTTCTTTTAAAACCAGGAACAAACCCTGTAGGGACAGAGTCTGGGGTAGGAAGGACAAAAATGGTGATCTCCACAATAATGAGAGGTGGGATACGGAAAATGAGCAGGGAGAGGTGCACTTAACACACGGTGACTACAGATGCAGCCGCACTAACGGGTGGTAAGATTGCTCTTTTAGGGAGCGTCAGTGTGGAGGATAGGTAGCTGGGGACTAGGACCATTGTTAGATTGTGAGGAAGATTATCTGTCAAAGCTTTGTTTCTTCATGTGCAAGGTTGGAAGGCCTCTGTTTATACCAGATTGGGTTTTTGATTCCTGCCGGCTTCAATGGAAATTAATTTCAAAGCCCACTATTTGCTAATTGCCTTTAAACCTTAACTTTGGGCTCTCCCCTCCCCCATCACTAAACCTAGTTTCTCTAGGCAGCAAATGATCACTGATTTTTCTTTTGACAGATGGAAGTGATAAAAGAATATAAAGGAAAAACTAGCAACTTTCCTATGGTTAGCACTATATCTTATCTCCCCGTTCCTCTTTGAGGCAGGGTTTCACTATAGGAAGCCCAGGCAGACCTGCATGGACCCATGGCCCTCCAGCCTCTGTCTCCATAGTTAGGAGATTGCAGGTATACTCCACTATAGCTGTCATTGCTTTCAATCACTAAAACAGTCCCTAGAAATCTTTGATTGGCCCTGGAAAGATATGATCAAGGGCATGGACAGGCATTTCAGGAAAAATAATAGACACTATACAAAGTGATTGAGATGTATTTTACAGAAAGACTACTCCTTTGCAGCTAGTAACTCCTCAGAGTTGACAGTGACTCCCATGATGCCCGAGTTAGGGTTGGCCTGAGACTTCTAGAACTTGGGTAACTGAAGGGAGATTGAGGGGAGCTGCCTCACTTACCAGCCATGAGGATTTGAACTCATTGTTCCCTATCTTGGATTTGTTGTTCCCTATCTTAGCACCATGACATTTGGGCTGGATACTCTGCTGTGATGTACTATTATCCACCAAGGATCTCTGGTGACATTGCTCTCCTGAGCTGATGAGATG